TTTTTTGGCAGCCGCGACCATCTATGATTGCGAGCAACCTTCCAAAGATGCGAGACCTGGTCGCCCCCTTGTCCTGGGAAGGGAGGGAAGTGCACAAGCGATGCAGAGAAGTTGGAGCCGAGCCACGGGAGAGCGCCATCGGCAAACAAAAGAAAAGCGAAAACTCGCGCGTGTCTTGACCATGCGGAGCCCCCCGCAGAAAACCCAGCACCATCATCAGAGAGAGAGAGAGTGTGTGTATGTGGAATGCGACGGGAGCGCGTGACAACCCCGTCCTGTCAACATCAACAGCAGATGCTCACAAAATGGCTCGTGCCTGGGCTGTCCGCCTCCCAGTCTACCACCACCCGAGGCGAGCAAAGGGCCGGTCACCTGAGCATCGAGGCCATGCGAGATCTACCGGCGCTGTCAGGATGGCAAGGTCGGAGGAAATAAAAGGGCAAATATCAGTGCTGGGGGTTCCCCTTAGTTTCTGGGGGCTTGAAAAACGACAACTTCGCCAAATAACGACTCCCCTGGCTCCCGTCCCACCGCAGAGTGATCTCGCTCAGTGTGGGTTCATGTTGTGATGCTGGGGTGAAAAGAAAAAGAAAAGACGAAGAGTTCGGGCGGCCCCAGACCAACCTAGGCCGCACGAGCCCTCGCTCGCCTCGAGCGGGCGCTGGGGAAGTTCATTTCTGTGCACGCCTTGCACGCCTTGCACGCCTTGCACGCCTTGCACGCCTTGCACGCCTTGCACGCCTTGCACGCCTTGCACGCCTTGCACGCCTTGCACGCCTTGCACGCCTTGCACGCCTTGCACGCCTTGCACGCCTTGCACGCCTTGCTCGGCATAGTGCAAGATTTGTATTGGTATTGGCCTCCATATTATTGATCCATCAGCCCAGCCCATCGTCCCATGTGCTTTGGCGGTTTTCCGCCCCCCGTCCACGCCATCATCATCATCATCATCATTGTCGTAAACCGAGCCACCGGTTCCTACCCGCGTCGTAGCCTCGCATATCTGCCTGCCCGGCAGGGGCGCACCTCGGCGGTCCACAGGCGCTCGAGAGGAGCGTGCGCGCTCTGCCAGTGCCCAAGAACAAAAGGGGATCAATGGACGAAAAATAACAGGTGATTTGGATGATGCGGGTGGGTATTCGAAGGGAATTCGTCAAAAAAAACTCGGGTGCGATCATCGGGACGGCGTGTGTGCTTTGGACCGGCTGGTCCCTGCGCTGAGGGGAGCAAGGGGCAGGGGGGCGGATGAGCCAAAGGCCCCTTGCGCTCCCATCGTCCTGGTTAGCCCAGTCCTCCCTGGCCTGACTGTTAGGGGTCGGAAGGAGCCCCGAGCTGTTGGGCTAGCGAGACCCTTGGGTATCCCCACTGGGTTGAACCGAGGAAAGGGATAAATAAGGACTGGTAAAAAAAAAAGGATATTTGATTTTGATATTTTGGGCGTGTGCAAAGAAAAATAATCTTCATCCCTCCACCCATGACGCCTATCCTCTTTGCACCAAGTGGCTGGAGAGGTGCAGTAGCGTGCATGATACAGGCCATCACCATCCCTCGGAATCCCACCTTCCCCGCCCTTGCGAAATGATCGGGTTCACGTTCGGGATGTGTTTGGACACCGATGGGGAGTTGCTGTGAACGCGAGAGGGCAAGGTCATTGGGTTTTGCTGGTCGCGAAGCCTAGCCGGGCGTTGTAAATCAGCTCCATCTCCTGGTCGGCGCGGGTGCACGTTTGGAAGCCCGCCCCGATGTCCCCCTTCTAAGCGCACCGCACTGACGGCGGATTGCGAATCGGGGTCAGGTTTGTGGTGGCGGGATGAGGCGAGGATCATCGAGTCAAAAAAGGCAGAACGGAAACGAGTCGACAGGAGCGAGGAGAGAAAAATGAGACGGAAACCCACTGAAAAGGGAAGGAAACATGATCTGTTGTTGCGGAACCAAACCCCTTCTGTCACAGCTTTCTTTTTTTGTCCATCGCTCCATGTCCCTCGCCCATTCCCCCTGGTCCAAGCAGGGCACCGCGCACCACGTCCTCGGGTGCTTGACCAGGCCCGCCCTTTCCCTTTTTCTACTGTCGTTTTTCTTTTCGTTTTGTGACGCGCCTCCACCAGGCTTGATGAAAGGAGCAGAAAAAAGGTCCGATGAACGAACCCATTCGTGTCCAGCCCTCGAAGCAAGGGGACACGGCGGCGCTGATCCTTCTATCCAGCTGGGGGCGCGCTGGTCTAGCCAAAATCGTGAGAACAAGCTGTTGTTTCCATCCAGTCCCAGTCTCAGGCCGCCACGCCCCCGCCCGTCTTTTCGGTTGGACTTTGCGCGTTGCTGTGCACCGGCGCCGTGGGAGCAGGCAACCAGCGGGTCCTGCCAATGTGCATTACGTCTACCGTTGAGGCTGGTGAGACAGCCCTGTCCGCTTGGGCCGGATGCGTTTCGCTGGAGCTGGAGCTGGAGGGGGAGTTTGGGTGCTGGCACGAGCGCTGAGCGAGTCTGATGTGGTGCTGTTTGCAGTGAAATGACAGCAGCGTGCGTAGGTTGTCCTCCCTTGGGTGCAGGAGCTACAGTTAGTAGCTAAAATGAGAGACATTGAAGTTCTCGGTGTCTAATGCATGCAGGTTTTGCATAGGACGAGCTAAAAACAAAAACACCAATCACCAGCTACCGAGACTGAGGCGCCTCTGCCGAAGAAATCCAGTTGCAGTCAAATTGCTTGCATCCCGATGCTCTGGTGCTTTGCTGCCGAACATTTGATCTGGTGCTGCTTGTGCGGCAGCCCTTGCACACTGGCCTCTGCCATGACGGGGCCGCGCACTGGCCTTTTTCGCAGGCGCAAGGGGAGGGGAGGTCAACCGAGGGTGGGGCTGTGGGAGTCTGATGTGCAAAGGGGGCGTGCTGTTGGGCTGGTGCAACAGCAGGTGGGCCGGCCGGTGACTAGTGGGTGGGGTGTGGGGGGTGTGCGAATAACGCTCGATTTTTCTTTCTTCTTTTTTGGAACCCGAAACCTCGAGCTCCAGGGCCGGGCCTGGCATGCGACGTAGGCAGGCACGCACGCACACCCAGCTCTGCAGCCCACTGCAAATCCCAGCTCAGCACCCATGACAGAGCCCGTTGTCGCCCCTCCACATTAACCTCCGCCCGTCCCCTACCTCCCGCCTTCTACGAGCATCCTGCAGAAGTGCTGCACGTCTGTCTTTCCTCTGCCCTCGTCCGATCTCGTCTGGTGTGTCGCCCGCCCACCCCCCTCCAGCAAAACAAAACCCACCGCAATCCAGTGCATGATTGTCGCCACTGTTTCGGCCTCTTGCAACCGCTCCCTGTCGCCCATTCACTCGCGTTGGACTTGCACTTGTGCTTCTCTTCTCGTCTTTTTTTTTTGGGTGCTATTTTGTTCACCGGTCGTTACTTTGACGTGCCAGTCACTGTGTCGAGGACAAGGAAGACGGCGGGAGAATTACTGGGCGAATTGAATCGACGCCAACAACAGCAACAACCACAAACAATAACAACGACACCAGAGCAACCACACACGGCGCGACACTCATTCACTTATTCTCACTCTCGCTTTCGCTGTCAGCCAGCAGAAGCATTAGGCCGCCTGCCTGCAGCTGTACCTCATACACACGCCCAACGCTCGCTTGCATCTCCTGGCCCCCAACTGATTCTACCTGCCACCGGCGGCCACCACCAAGGGTCGCATCCCAAGTGCCTCACACGCACAGCTGCCACCGGGCCAAGGCGCTCTCTCACTGCAGACTCATTTTTTTTTAAGTGTAGATTTCGTACCTGGGGTGTGGTTTACCGGAACTAAGAAACACCCCTTCCTGCCGGCGCCGCACCCAGGTCAGAGGACGGCCGGCCTGTTTCCAGCTGCCGTTGATCGCCGTTGCCCATGCTCGCCTCCACGCGCATTGAGCAGCGATGGTAATGCTCGACAGCCATTCCATGCGAGCCAGCCTACAGGTGGCTCCCCTTGCAATACACAAGACGTCTCGCTCGGCCGCCGCCCAGGACGATGGCGTCGCTTCTCCTTCAACCCGCAACAACCACAGAAACGCTGCCGCCGCTGCCCTCGAGTCCAGGGCAACAACAGAATCCTCCACGAACGCGCGAACGACCACGACAGCAGACGCCCACGACTCGAGATCCGCGAAATCACACATGACTCCGCCCGCGACGCCCAATGCCTCGCAAGAAGATCTGCTGGCGGCCGTCAGCCCGCCGCCGCCGGTATTCCACAACTTCTTGCGAGCCTTTTTCCAGTTCCAGCCAACCTGCACCATGTCCGACTCGACGGTGACGCTGCCGCTGAGCGAGGGGGACGTGGTGTTGGTGCACTCGATCCACACCAACGGCTGGGCCGACGGCACGCTGCTGGTGTCGGGCGCCCGCGGCTGGCTGCCCACCAACTATTGCGAGGCCTACGACCCGGATGAGATGCGCAACCTGCTCAAGGCCCTGCTTAACTTTTGGGACCTGCTGAGAAGCACCGCCGTCAACGATAGGGAGATATTCGGAAACCAGGAATTCATGAAGGGCATCATTGCCGGCGTGCGGTACCTCTTGGTATGCTTCCCGCCCCTCCAACTCGCTTTGGTTTTGTCGCCGCATTTAGCCGCACCTGCTGCGCATACGGCCATGTGGCCGCGGCTCGATTTCTCCGGAATGGCATTGCGCAATGCTTAATTCTCCGTCTATGATGCTAACACTCTCCCCGGAAACAGGAGAGGACAAACTGCCTGACAAGGGAGGCGGCCCTCATCCAACGTCATGAGGGCCTGCGCCGCAGCCGCAAATCACTATTGTCTGAGCTTTCCTCACTAGTCAAGACGGCCAAGAGGTTACAGGAGCACCAAAGACGACCAGACCCGAACGAGGATGTCAACGACATCGTCGACGAGATGATCCTGAAGGCCTTCAAGATTGTTACAAAGGGCACCCGTTTCCTCGATATTCTAGAAGACGACCGGAGGTCACGGGCCCCCGCCGTTACCGTTATGGCGACCGTTCTGGAGGAGTCGAGTGTGCCACCAACGCCACCAGCCGACTCTGGGTCGTTTGGGTCCCAACAGGGCCTGGCGCGCCAGGCTAGCGATGCAGCCTTCCGCTCACATGACCGCGAGGAGACCAGGAACATACTGGAGGGGCGCACCAGCGATAGCGTGGAGCAAACGGGCGTCGTGCCAAGCGCCGTTGACGGGCAGCAAACAGCGCCGTTGCCAGCAAACGCAAACAACAACAGCAACAACACCAGGCGGCAGTCGCTTGTCCTGTCGCCCACGTCGGGTACAAATCCCCGCCGGCTGTCTCAGAACAATGCCGCACTAGCGAACCGACTGTCGTCTACGATATCGCACCGTGTCTCGCTCGCCGGCCCGTCCCCGCTCTCGAGGCCACAGAATCTCGTCTCACAGCGATTGAGCGACGGCCATGACACCTTCCTGTCCTACCTCGGCTCCTTCATTGGACGACTCCATCTACAGTCGCAGTCTCGCCCCCACCTGGCCCTCGCCATCAAGCAGTCGGCCACATCTGGTGGCGAGCTGCTGGTCGTCATCGACATTGTGTGCGCCCACAATCATCCGAGTCTGGACCTGCTCGTGGATCGCCGCGCAGCCATGTACGACCGCCTGCGAGACCTCGTGCTCACCGCGCGCGACGTTCTGACTGCCCACGGCCCCGACGACGAGGACATCATGGTCCCCCACGACAACAGCCGTCTGCTGTATACCGCCACTGACTGCGTCCGCGCCACGGGCGAGTGTGTGGCCAAGACCAAGTGGCTGATCGAGCGCATCGGCGACTTTGAGTTCGAGTTCGACGCGGGCGCCACGGGCCTGGACATGGACTTGACTTTCCTGGACATCGCCGCCGCCGACGACAGCGATCGCAGGCCATCGACTGCCATACCCCTCAACTCATCGAGGTCGAGCTTCGCCGAATCCCAGGTTTCCGAGGAGGCCTCGCTGCGCGCCCTTCCTGTTGCCACAACACCCACGCCGACTGTGCGCCCTACCCACCCGGCCATCGACAAGCCGTTGCCCGAAGTGCCTCAGCTCAGCCCTCCCGAGGACGAGGGCGACAACGACGAGGAGGAGGCCCAGCCACAGCTCCCACCTCAGCCCTCACCGCCGGCATCAAGGCCGATATCCATCTTCGACGATGCCGCGTCAAGCATAGCATCCTCGGTGGCATCGCTCAGGCCTGTTCTGCCGCCGCTGCCCAGGCTGTCCACATCGTTGCTCACCCAAGACGAGTACAGCCCATCGGAGCACTCGGCTGGCCACGACAGCGAGTACCACTCATCCTTCCGATCCGAAAGCATTGCAACTGCGTCGAGCTCTGCCACAGGCAGCACCTATCTCAGCCGGGACTCGGAGTCCAGCCTCGTGTCTCAAACATCGACTCGCGCTACCACACCCGACCTTGCGAGCAGGCCGTCCTTTTCGGATCTCAGCAACGCTGGGACCGGCGCTGAAGAGGTGGAGGACGTCGAGTCCAAGTTGCTGGAGAAGACGTTTGCCCACGAGCTGATGTTCAACAAGGAAGGCCAGGTGACGGGCGGCTCGCTCTCTGCGCTTGTCGAACGCCTAACCACGCACGAGTCCACACCCGACGCCATGTTCGTCTCGACCTTCTACCTCACCTTTAGGCTCTTCTGCACACCCATGGAGCTCGCCGAGAGCCTCGTCGATCGGTTCGACTATGTGGCCGAGTCCCCGCATATGGCCATTCCGGTCCGCATGCGCGTGTACAACGCCTTCAAGGGCTGGCTGGAGTCGTACTGGCGCCACGAGACGGACCAGGAGGCGCTGACCATCATCGAGCCGTTTGCCAACTTCAAGCTTAGCGCCGTGCTACCCACGGCCGCCGCTAACCTGGTGAGGCTAACCCAGCGGGCCGCGTCGGATGATGTCCTCGTCCCTCGCCAGGCGTCTTCGATGGGCAAGACCAACACGGCCAATGCCGGATACATACCCGTCGACACTCCCCTGCCGTCCTCAATTATCACCAAGAGCCAGGCCCATGCGCTGGCAAACTGGAAGGCCGGCGGTAGCTGCCCTACCATCCTCGACTTCGACCCTCAAGAGTTTGCGCGCCAGCTCACCATCAAGCAGATGGTCCACTTTTGCTCCATGATGCCAGAGGAGCTGCTCGGCTCGCAGTGGATGAAGAACGGCGGCATCGGTGCCCCCAACGTCAAGGCCATGTCGGGCCTGTCGACAGACCTCTCCAACCTGGTGGCCGACACCATCCTCCACTACAATGAGGTCAAGAAGCGCGCGACTGTTATCAAGCAGTGGATCAAGATCGCCCACCAGTGCCTCGAGCTCAACAACTACGATGCCCTGATGGCCATCATCTGCAGTCTGAACAGCTCCACCATCACGCGCCTGCGGAGGACGTGGGAGTTTGTGTCGGCCCGCCGGCGCGAGCTGCTCAAGCAGATGCAGGCCGTCGTCGAGCCGTCGCAGAACAACAAGGTGCTGCGCGGTCGCCTCCACGACCATGTGCCTCCCTGCCTGCCCTTCCTGGGCATGTTCCTCACTGACCTCACCTTTGTCGACATTGGCAACCCGTCGACCAAGCAGCTGGCGGGCTCGGACGGCAGCGAGGGCGGCAGCGGCCTGACCGTGGTAAACTTCGACAAGCACACGCGCACGGCCAAGATTATTGGCGAGCTGCAGCGGTTCCAGATCCCCTACCGGCTCGCCGAGGTGCCCGACATGCAGGACTGGCTGCAAGCGCAGGTGGTGCGCGTCCGCGAGCTCGAGGTGCCCGGCAGCAACGTCCAGGTGTCGTACTACCGCAAGAGCCTGCTCCTCGAACCGCGGGAGAACACGCAGCCGGCGTCGCGCACACCCTCGGCCTCGCTCTCGGCCGGTGGATCTAGCGCTGGGAGCGTCCTCGGCAATGGTCTGCTCTCGGTCGTCACTGCCGGTGGCGTCGCGTCGACGTCGGCGGTCCAGACGCCGACGGCCAAGGACACGCCAACCAGGACCGACTACTTTGGCTGGATGCGCGGCGCCTCCAGCAGCAACACGGCGGTTGCCTAAGTCAGCACGAACCGAGCCCGACAGACACAAAACTTGCCATATACGCTACCACATTTTCGCCCTTTGCACGCTCTTGACGCGACCTCGCCCCGAACTAACCAAACATCATCACTACCACGGCCTCCCATATCTTTTATTTACGTGTTGATCGATTGATACCCATTTTTCTGTTGGCTGTTACACCCTCTTTCTTCTCCGTCGGGAGCAGGTCTTGAGCCTGCTGCTTATTCTTAATCGGGACTACCATTGGGCATAATCTCCTCGCCGACCCGACAGCACGTCGTCGGTCGCTTGCGTCTCGCATATTGGGTTACTTG